CTTGCCTCTCAAACTTAGCCTGCCTCACATGGTTGCTCTGAGGATTAAATCTGGGAGGGATATGGAAGAAACATGGACACTATAATTTTTATTTATAGTTAATTAATTAATTAATTAATTAATTAATTAATCGCTTCCCACGAGGCATCCTGAAGCTATTTACAATACAATAAAAGTGTACGTAAAACAGTCACATATATATATTTTTTAAAAAATCTAATTTGCACATATAAAAACAAAGGCTTATATCCTTTGAAATTCACACTTCTTCAAATTTCACAGCACAGTTCTCCAGCTAAGTAATGTGTGCAAATTTATATATACTAGGGCAAAGTTTGCATTAAAACGTGCTATATTACAGGAAAATGTTTCGCAAAGAATGTATGTATCGGGCAAAGGTGCAGGCGGAAATGTGTCTATTAGGACAAACTAGCGATGAAATGCTGATGAATTTTCATGCAGTTTTTGGGGGGGTTTTTTAACGCAAACTGGTGTGGAAATATGGAGAACTGAAGAATGGGAAAATGAAAAATGGAGGAAAAATGAAATGGACAGAATTTACCTTCTTTTGCCAGGAGGAGAGAGAGAGAAGAGAGAGAGAGAGAGAGAGAGAGAGAGAGAGAGAGAGAGAGAGAGAGATTCAGAAGCCCCTGCTTTTAAATTTTAGATGTGAATTTAATGTTGAATTGCATCCTGTGCTACTGATGAGCAGCTGGTGAAAATGCTCTCTCTCTCTCTCTCTCTCTTCTCAGCTCAAAGCATAGGCAGGGATATATCCACGTCTGGGATGTGCATCGTACCGTTCTTCTAATTGTAGTTTTATGCATGCCCACTCCATTCCCATTAGTGACAGAGTTGTACTAGCATTAGCCCAGAGGCAACAAATAACTAGTGGGCAGTTTAATCAGAAGGAAAGGGGGGAAATAAAATTAATGTAGCATGCAGGAGGTTTGGGCAGAGCGTTTTGCTCATCTTTATTGTGCAAAGCTGGGTCATGTTTATTTTACAGGTTTGGGAAGAAAAGGTTAAACAGGCCCAAAATCTATACAGTTTTAGCCACATATGTTTTGGCCCCTTCCAACGCCCCCTTCCGATGCCATTGTATCAACACAGGTTCATGTCTTATAGCGAGGCTCAAGTTGGACAGAGATGCCTACATTTGTCTGCATCAATTTCATTCTCTCATCATCGAATTCTAGAGTTGGAGTCATCTAGTCCGTTGCTGGTTTTTGAGGCTCAGGTGGCCTCGGTGGGGCACAGTGCTTTTCATCCGCTTTGGCTAGTGGCCCAGCTGCACCCCTGTCTGGACAGGGACAGCCAAACTACTGCTGTCTATGCTTTGGTCCATATAGTCCGTATAGTAAAAGCCATGGTTTTCCCAGTAGTGATGTATGGAAGTGAGAGCTGGACCATAAAGAAGGCTGATCGCCGAAGAATTGATGCTTTTGAATTATGGTGCTGGAGGAGACTCTTGAGAGTCCCATGGACTGCAAGAAGGTCAAACCTATCCATTCTGAAGGAAATCAGCCCTGAGTGCTCACTGGAAGGACAGATCCTGAAGCTGAGGCATCCAATACTTTGGCCACCTCATGAGAAGAGAAGACTCCCTGGAAAAGACCCTGATGTTGGGAAAGATGGAGGGCACAAGGAGAAGGGGACGACAAAGGATGAGATGGTGGGACAGTGTTCTCGGAGCTACCAGCATGAGTTTGACCAAACTGCGGGAGGCAGTGGAAGACAGGAGTGCCTGGCGGGCTCTGGTCCATGGGGTCACGAAGAGTTGGACACGACTAAACGACTAAACAACAACAACAACAACAACAATGCTTTGGTAACCTCTAGGTTAGATTACTACAACATAATTATATGTTCCTTCTTCTTTCCTTTCTTCTCTTTGGCGATCCCTCGTAGCCGACTAAGATTGTCTTCCATCAACACGGTTTTAACAATGAGTCCGTAAGTGACCGTGGAAGACAATTCTGGATCCACACGTCCTTCCACAGTGGGGACATTGGTTCCCGGGCGGGGGTTGATCACGGTGTGGATTTGCCAAACGTGCCTTCCTCTTTGCACATTTCTCCCTTGCGTCCTGAGTTCGAGTGTCTTCAAAGCCCATTGATACCTTTGGGAAAGGCTGTTCTCCAGTTGGAGCGCTCGCAGGCCAGTGTTTCCCAGTTGGCGGCGTTTATACTACATTTTTAGAGATTTGCCTTGAGACAGTCTTTAAACCTCTTTTGTTGACCACCAGCATTACGCTTTCCATTTTTAAGTTCGGAATAGAGAAGCTGCTTTGGAAGACGATCATCAGGCATCCGCACAACACGACCAGTCCAAAGAAGTTGATGTTGAAGAATCGTTGCTTCAACACTGGTGATTCCCCCCCAAAAATATTGGCTCCCTGGTTCTTTAGTTGTGTCCAGTGTCTGTCTCTTTGACCTCTGCTTTGAACATCTGATTGTCTATTTTGGGGGGGAAGACTGTTGGACCGTTGGCCTAGGACAGCAGGGCGAGCCTTAGAAGAAGTCTTAAACACACTCTTAAAGCAGTTGATTCGGAAACTTCAGCTAGTTTAGAATTTGGCGGATAGGTTGCTCACCAGGAGAAGACGGTTTGAGCATATTACACTGATCTTGGCCCAACTGCTCTGCCTGCCAGTGAGTTTCCAGGCCCAATTCAAAGTGCTGGTTTTAACCTATAAAGCTTTAAATAACTTAGGGCCACTGCCCGGACCCTGCTATCATCATCTGAGGCCCTTCTTCCTGTGTCTCCTTCATGAGAGGTCTGTTCGGGGGCAAAACGAGAACAGGCCTTTTCTGTGTTGGCCCCCCTCTCATGATGTAGGCTCGGACTCCAAAACCCTCCTTGTGAATGTAAAGTAACTGTATCTTTTTTCATTACCTATGGGACTTGTGTGTGTTTTATTGTACGTTTTTAAAGTAATGCTAGCAACGTGTGAATGATACAAACGATGGGGGTCCAGTTAGCTCTACGTAGCTCTGAGATTTCTAAACTTTGCTAAATATGCACAGTATGAACTATAAGCCAACCCATTTTATTTCTAAAACCTGTAAGTTCCAGAGAATGAGATCTGAGCTCATTCCCACCCTGCCCCTAATTTGGGCTGGGTTACGGTGATAGCAACAGATGCTTCCCCAGTTCAGCATGTGGAAATAAGTGCAGGATTGGGTCTGTAGTGTTATCCGCCAATATTTATGGACACAGTCTATGGCCAAGGAGAAGCAAGCAAGGACTTTTTGAGCCATGGCCAGGCGACTCCCAGTTTTGTGCTGATTGGCTTCGCCCATGTCAGCTGACTCCTAGCTGTCTGCTGATTGGTTCTGCCTTAATTGCACTTCTTGGACTCCTTCCTATGCTCATAATTCCCTAGGAATAATACCAGGCTACTTGCTTGCTTTGGTTCTTCAGTCTTTCTTTTTTTTTTAATAATATTTTTTATTGCGTTTCTTTTCATAGTTTTACACATTCCAAACAGTACAGAAAAAAAGAATACAAGAAACATTTTTTTTTAAACTAAAAAAGAGAATATCAAAAAGATTGTATATATATAATGGTTCCACTTTCAGTAGATCTCTATTGGACTTCCCCACACCTTCCAGATCTGCGTTCTTTGCATTAACAATGTCAGCAATTTGTTACCTTATTTCACACCTTGTTGTAACCTTCAGTTATTATGTCTCCAAGCTCAGAATATTGTAACTCAATTTTCATGCCTTTAAAATAAACATAATATATTTGATTCACATTTGACTCCTTTCCTCTTTTATCACTTATTTTGTCATTTACTTAAGCATATTGATAAAAGCATAACATTTCCTGATCGTGCACTATCTTAAGATTCATACAGCTTATAATATTTTTGCAAATAATCTTTAAATTTTTTCCAATCCACCTCAATTGTTTCTTCATCCAAATCTCGGATTCTGCCAGTCATTTTGGCTAATTCCATATAGTCCATCAACTGCGTCTGCCATTCCTCCAGCGTGGGTAAATCTTGTGTCTTCCAGTTCTTTGCGATGAGTATTCTTGCTGCTGCGCTAGCATACATAAACAAGGTTCTATCCTTTTTTGACACTTTCTGGTCAACGCTTTGGTTCTTCAGTCTTCCAACCTGCACACGTCATTCTTCTATCTGCCACATTTTCATCCTGTCCAAATGTCCACCATAAATCCAGGGACCAACCCACATCTGGGGCCATAGATGGTCAACGTTGACAATTATTAGTTTGGCATGAACTCAAGGGGGGCAGCTCAAGGGGGCGAACGGAAAAATAGACAGTGGGGCAATGAGAGCCGGCAAAACTGGGCCATTTCTTATTTCTGAATCAGCCCCCATTCCCCGAGAGTTCTCTCTTGACGTGATCAATATGACAGGGTTTGTGTGTTTGCCCCCCGCTCAGCTCCATTTATTTTTAATGCCTAGCGTCGAGTGTTTTTGTCAGGAAGATGTTGCAATCTAGACTGTGTACTCAATGAACAATTTATCTTGTCTGGGAACAAATTAACCAAAGTAAGCAATTAGTGGGACCACTCAACCAATCGCAATGCTCAGTCTCTGTGTGTGTGTGTGTGTGTGTGTGTGCGCGCGCGTGTGTGTGTGTGTGTTTGTGTGATAATATGTCGTTGCCGTTGTCTCCACTGCAGTGTCGAAAACTGTTGCGGCGTAGGGTCTAGAGGAACTGAAGACGGGTTCAGAATGCCTATTTAGCTGTCAAAAATCATTGGTCAGCCTTATCCAAGTCACTAGCCTCCAGCGTCTTTGCAAGGATAAAACAGGATGATAACCCTGTATGAACTAACCTCTGAGCTCCATAGGGGAAGGTAAGAGTCTGCAAGTATTCCAGGCTAGCCCAAAAGCTCTTGCCGACTGATTTTTGCTGATCTGAAGGAATTTGGCAAGTGAAAAGACATTTTGGGTAAGGTTTTCCCAAGATACTTCTTTCCGCTGTAGAGAAAAGATTTCGGGTCGTTAAGAGAGTCAAATACTAACCTGGCAGGGGAGGCACCTTGATCAAGAAGGAGGTTTTCTCAATGTGAGGCTCATCCATTGCACTGCAGGGGTGCTGACCCCTGTGATTTCCCCAAATGTGGGAAAAGTGGACTGCATCATTTGTGACAGTGGGGGGGCTGTATTCATGCTGTTTAAGAGAGAGAGAGAGAGTGTGTCAAGATGGTATCGGGATCGCTCTGTGAACTCAGATAAAGTGTCTATTTTTTCCAGAGACTATTTCTGTTATGTACTGAGTTGAATAGGATCCAAAATGCAGCAGTCTGTTTGGTCCCAGAACAATAGGATCCAAAATGCAGCAGTCTGATTGGTCCTAGAACAATAGGATCCAAAATGCAGCAGTCTGATTGGTCCTAGAACAATAGGATCCAAAATGCAGCAGTCTGATTGGGCCTAGAACAATAGGATCCAAAATGCAGCAGTCTGATTGGTCCTAGAACAATAGGATTCAGAATGCAGCGGTCTGATTGGTCCTAGAACAATGCAGCAGTATGATTGGTCTGCAGGAGCCACCCAATCCAGCTCCAGATGGAAGTGAATCCACAACCTGATTGGCCTACAGGAGAATCCCGGAATTAGCCAATCACGTGGGGCCCATTGTGTAAATAATGTATATAAAGCAGATACTTTGGGAAAACATTCATTCCTCCTCACCACCATGAGCTGAATAAAGAGCATGAAATCCACTCTCTACTCTGAGTATATTTCAATTTCCTAATTTTGAAGGGCAAAGGATTGGTTTGCTGTGGAGTCTGTGCCTGCTTGTATGCCCCTTAAAATTCATGTAACACACTTCCAGGCCTACCTTGAGGGCGAGATCCAGCCCGTTCGGTGGCAACGAGGCCACACAATCACGGGGCGCACACAGCCTTATTTTTATGGTGACGTTTCCTTTTTCAGCGCCGGAAAGGTTATTTCAGGCAGGCCTGGAAACTGCGTCGTTTGCCACTGAGGCTGCTTTCTATTTTCTCTCAAGCGTGGTGACACCCGTCTCTTAAGTGGAACGAGAAGACAGGCGAAATGAAGGAGAAGTCAGCTGGGCAGATGAAGGGCCAAAGATGATTCTCGGGAGAGTTGTGGATGAATGTTTCCCTCTCCGTCGGGTTTTCCTGTGAAGGCCGTCGCCCTGGGGGATCCGCATGCCTGACACCCTGTTGCTTTTTTCTCCTTCGAGACATTCACAGACCCCTCCTGAGAGAGGGAGAACAGGAGTGCAGAACATACAACCCATAATTACACTCTGTGGGCCTTAGCTGGGGGCAAGGGAAAGCGTGTGATCGGGGTTTTTGTTAAGTTGTGGGTGAACATATCAGACGACACAGCGATTCTTCAGACAGCTCTTGTTTATTCACAGGCCCAGAACAGAACCGAACTGAAGGGTTCAGCCAACCTGCTTATATAGAGCTCAACTACAAAGCAACAGTAACCACTTTCTGTAACTATCCAATCGCTGAACGTCACTTTCAATTCCTTATTTCCATATGTGGACCCGAGTGAAAACTATCCACAGTATCCCCCTGCTGGCCCAGGGTGAGAACTTCAGTACGTAACAAGTTTAATCAGCCAAAGAAACCTCTCAGCTTACTAATTGATTGGCGTTGCCTTAAATCTTTGGAAGGAATCTGTTTGAGAAAGAACTACGGTATATTATATATAATGAGTACCTTTGGGACTGTTAAAAGGTATCCTTCTGCAAAATGAAGCCGACAACATCCGGTGATCTGAACTTATACGAAGGGCATATTGAATTCCAGTGGCCATCTGGTATAAATTGGGGCCCAATCTGTCAGCCGGGCCCTGCTGACTGCCTGATCTCAGAGTATCAGAAAGCTGAGCGTTACACCGGCAAGAAAAAGCCCTTCTGTTGTAGCTAACAGATCACTGCAGGAAGGACAGGGGTTCGAATGTGGCCCACAAAGCCCACTGGGAGGACAAGTCACAGCCCCTCAGCCTTACCTTAAATAGCTGGGGTGCTGCAAAGACAAAAGGGGACAGGTGTCAATGCTCCTTCTATAGAACATTGCTTTGGGTTCTTCTGCCTTCTTGAATGATACAAAGGCCATAACCATCAGGACCAATGGCCAGGGATGATGAGAGCTGTAGCCCAGCAACACCTTGAGAACCACAGGTCCCCCAAACTTTGCACCTATCTCTAATTCTGTTTCTATTCATCTTTCTAAAAGTTGCATTTGTTTGTTGTGTCCCCCCCCCCGCCCCGTGAACTCGTACAGACTTTTCACGATTATATCTCATGTAAACCACTTAAGAGAGTTCTGCTTTATATTAATGGGCATCTAGGGATGTTCTAGATAAGCCGGCCCAGATGTTTGGAAAGTTTGCATGAGTTTTAATTTGCTTTAGTCTAGTCTGTTGTGGTTTTAGCTTTCGGTGTGTTTTGAATTGTGGCTGGAAATTCCTCGGCAATCATTTCATTGTTTTTATCTTTTTTGATTCCACAATCAAGCGGTATATACCGTATTTTTCACACTATAAGACGCACCAGACCACAAGACGCACCTAGTTTTTGGAGGAGGAAAACAAGAAAAAAAATATTCTGAATCTCAGAAGCCAGAACAGCAAGAGGGATCCCTGCGCAGTGAAAGCAGCTGTCAGGGCTGCCTCAGGTCCCAGCTCACAAGAGACCAACGCCAAGTCCAGTTTATATACAAAAATGTTTATTGAAGTTCATTGTACGCTCCACAGCCGAGGCGCGCAGCCCCACTTCTGTTACGCTTAGACCGCTGAAGTCCCCTCTGAGTCAGTCCCTCCTCTGCACCAGTTTAAGAGGGCTGTGCTGCTCCACCTCTTCCTTTCCTTCCTTTTCCGCAGGGTCTTCCTGCCCCCTGGGGTTTCGCCCCTCCTGGATTCCCCTGACGCGGAATCCCCAGACAGCTCTTCCCCCCTCCTGCGTGCTTTGGGACCTGGCTCCTCCTCCGGGCTCCCTGTTCTTCCGCGCGCCTCCACATTTGAACTTGGCGCGCGTTCGCAACCGCTAACCTTCCTCTTGACAGTTACACTACTCCCTGCACTACTCCCCTCCCCTTCCGGGAGGATGTCTTGCTCCGATCTCCCCTCCCTCTCTGCTTTCGGACCTGCTTCTCCTGTCACTCTGGAATCTCCACCCCCTTCACTGTGCTCTGGCGGAGAAGCCGGTCCCGACTCCCAGCTCCCACTTTGGGTTCCCCCGCTGGTCCCCTGCTCCTGACGAGTCCCCCCTGTGACTCCCCTTGGCCTGACCACAGGCGCCCCCTTCTGGGAATCCTCCGATTCACTTGGAAGACTCATGGAATCCCTCAAGTCATCGTCATCCTCTTCCTCGCTGCCCTGGGATTCTTCCCCCTCGCTCTCTGTCTCCTCCCTCACCTGTGCCTCTGTCCCTGAACCCCTGACAGCAGCAATCCCTCTTGCTGTTCTGGCTTCTGGGATAGCTGCGCAGCCTGCATTCGCTCCATAAGACGCACAGACATTTCCCCTTACTTTTTAGGAGGGAAAAAGTGAGTCTTACAGAGCGAAAAATACGGTAATTTGTATGCAATAAGCAAACAAATGACAAAGAAACAAACGGGCAGATACTTGCCGCAAGTCCTGTTAAGGAACAGGCATTACCCAAACACCACAGTGCTCCAGTACTCTTGTGTTGCCTGTAAAAGGATCGTGGAAAGTTTCCCTGAAACTTCTTACCACTGGGGAAAGTGTGTGGGGGGGTTGGGGGTGACGGTGAGGATGGTGAGTAATCATGCTCCATGTGACATTTCCATCCTTCACTGCTGTTTGGCGTGACTCATCTTGAAATGTGCAAACTCCTTTTCCTGCCGATCAGCTGGCTCCAGGACAAGGCAGTTCAGATCAGCCTGCGACATTCTCTGGGAAGATTCAGCAAATAACATGCAAGCTAAACAAAGCATTTTTTTCTGAGCCAATTTTGAGGGGGACTGGAAGGCAGCGAGCTTGCAGATTAAGTGGCTACTTTGACAGCTGGCAAGATTCATTACCTGGTGAACTTTAACTACGGGGCTGGAGGATCTTTCAGTTAGGAGAGCTGCAAGTCCTAAGATGGTCCTACTCAGAAGCAAGGCCCATTGAGTTGCCGTGGGCTTTGGGGGTTTACTTATATACCGACTTTGGGGCCCAAAGCAGTGAAAAGCACATTAATATGTATATGCATATGGAGAAAGTGCTACGAATGAAAACAATTGAAATAAATCTGTACTGGCAATTTTTTTTATTTATTAATTGCAGCTGCTTCAATGCCTGTTGTCTTTGTCCATGGAGTTTTCTTGGCAGGGATACTGGAGTGGCTTGCCAGTTCCTGCTCCAGGTGGATCACGTTTGGTCAAAACTCTCCACTATGACCTGTCCATCTTGGGTGCCCTGCTCGGCATAGCTCATAGCTTCTCTGAGTTATTCAAGCCCCTTCACCACAGCAAGGCATTGATCCATGAAGAGGGGGCAGTGATCCATGAAGGGGGTCACCTTGCCAACAAAGGTCCGTATAGTTAAAGCTATGGTTTTCTCAGTAGTGACGTATGGAAGTGAGAGCTGGACAGTAAAGAAGGCTGATCGCCGAAGAATTGATGCTTTTGAATTATGGTGCTGGAGGAGACTCTTGAGAGTCCCATGGACTGCAAGAAGATCAAACCTATCCATTCTGAAGGAAACCAGCCCTGAGTGCTCACTGGAAGGACAGATCCTGAAGCTGAGGCTCCAAGACTTTGGCCACCTCATGAGAAGAGAAGACTCCCTGGAAAAGACCCTGATGTTGGGAAAGATGGAGGGCACAAGGAGAAGGGGACGACAGAGGACAAGATGGTTGGACAGTGTTCTTGAAGCTACCAACATGAGTTTGACCAAACTGCGGGAGTCAGTGGAAGACAGGAGTGCCTGGCGTGCTCTGGTCTATGGGGGTCACAAAGAGTCGGACACGATTAAATGACTAAACAACAACAGCAGTTTCAATTGTTTTACCACATGTGTTTGCTGCCCTGGGCTGACAGGATATCTATTAAACAAACAAATAATAATAATAATAATAATAATAATAATAATAATAATAATAATTTATTATTTGTACCCCGCCCATCTGGCTGGGTTTCCCCAGCCACTCTGGGCGGCTTCCAACAAAGATGAAAAATACACT